TTTGTTCATCATCTGCCCTTATTACAAGCCTTCCTAATGTTTAAATAGACCTTAAAACTATCCTAAACCCACAAGGAACTTCGAGCTAAACAAGAAAAACAAAGTAGTCCTAATACTAGTACAATAAGGAAACTTAAACGCAAGAAATCAAGCAGCCTTGAGACCATCTTCAGCGCCCTCGTTCGAAGCCTTCTTGTTGTGAACTCGATCATCCAATACCTTGCTTTTGTCCTAGGAAATACGTAGTTTCATGTGGTACGAAACTCCTCCCTCGAATCGGCACCATATTTCTGGAGTGAAGCTTTAAAGTAGCTATGCTGCCCACCGTTTGATACTTAGGCAATTCCTGTCATTTTCCCAGTGTTGAGCTACAATCTTGTCGAGTCTTGAAACTGTACTTTCAGGCTTCCCTTCGAGCTGTCAGCCACTCTAGCTTGTAGAAGAGAATCCCAAGTTTAAATCCATACCCTAACCTTCCATTTCCACCATTCCAATAAGCCTCACCAAGCTTCCAAAGTACCTTAGTCGAATACGTCAAATGCCTTAGCCACAATTCCTGCTTGTGCACAATGGTTGTGTTAGCTTGTTTATCAATAAATTTTGGCTTGGGAATGAAGTAAACCATGATGGTATCAGGCTCCCCCTCTTCAAGAAGCTTTGTCCTCAAAGTTGGCTCTTTCCTCTTCTTAAATCTGTTACAAAACTGGTCCCAAATGGGATCGAAAAACGACTACTCAGACAACAATTTCTGGAAAATGAGGTGACTGTTCTTCAATTTCTGGAAACCAAGAATTCTTGAATTCGATTTGGGCGTTTCTAGCTCGAACTTCCCCGGCTCCAATTGATCATGCTTGCAGCTTCCTGGGAGCTCCCCCGATGATTTTATAATAGCTGTTTGGGTCGACTCACCTCTAAACTTCCAATCCCATTCGCGCGCGTTCAGCTGGTGTTCGAGCTGTAACAGAGGTGCTTCAGCGCGAAGAGGATCCTGCAAAAAAGAAATTTTTGACTCCATTGAAGCAAGGCGAGAGCTTCCCTAGGGTGGAAGGAATGTGTCGAGCTGTTCGGGGCGGTTGGGTGTGCCAATATGAGTGCCCCCCATAGCCCCTCTCTCATGCCCTGTCCTACCGTCGCCGAAAGACAGAGGCTGTATTGAGAGCTCGTTCATCAGAGCTTCTCATGTCTCAGGGCCATCAACATGAGTTGTCCCGTGTTTAGACCCGTCCTTGGCTTCCCGTCTCGTGGTTCCTCTTCACCCTTAGGCCGATTTGCGGCCAATTTCCGCTGATCGGAGTGAACCTCTAATGGGGGCAACGGCTTCAGGACAATGCTCTTCCAAACGAATCGGAATTTGTAACAGTTCGTGCCTCCGTCGTGGGTTACGGCGCGATCAAATTGCTAGGGCCTTCCCAACAAAATATGAGCAGCTTGCATCGGCACAACATCGCAAAGCAATTTGTCCTTATAATTACCGATTTTAAAACTGACGCGAACTTGCTTGGTTACCTTGATTGACCCGTAATCATTGAGCCAATGCAAATTGTAAGGCTCTAGATATTTGATTGTGGCCAATCCCAATTGTTTGACATTCGTGCAACTACCTCCATCGACGACCATAAACAAACACTTACCACTAACCAAACATCTCGTGTTGAAGAGATTGGTTTGTTGGCCTTCATCTAACTCAGGTTCCAGAGCCAGGGCTCCTAGGTTCATTCCAGACAAAAAGGGACCCTTTTCTGCCTCAATCTCCTCATCTAATTCTTCCTTAGACGAGCTGTCGACCTTCTTCCGTGGAACCTCCTCATCGCCTGAAACGTATTCACCGTCCCGCAAAACTAGCGTCTTCACATTCGGGCATTGATTCGCCTTATGCCCTCTACCATGGCATTTGAAGCACTGGATTGAACCACTAAAAGCTCCTGCTCGCTCGTAATTGCCTGGGGCTGTGTTTTGGTGGGTTATCTTGGCCGTTTCCAGCTTGTGTTGAGGCTGGACAGCCTCTGCAGGGCTCTCCGCAGTTTTTTTTGGAGCTCGAAAAACGTCTTCATATGGTGAGTTTTTGCTGCTTATCTATCTTAGCTGCGAGGTGAACCACGTCTTCAAGGTCAACAGAGGACCTGAGCTCGACCTTGTGTCGAATTTCTTGGTTCAAATCATGTAAGAAGCGTGCGATTGTAACTTCTCTATATTCACGCACGTATGCCCGGAGTAGGAGCAACTCTAGCTCTCTGAAATACTCCTTGGCACTTCGCGATCCCTGACGAGTGCCTTGCAACGAATCATGGAAATCGCGTAGGTAGTATGTTGGCACAAAGCGCTCTCTCATTATCCCGCGCAATTCTTCCCATGTAGCCACCAGATCCTGTAAGTTTCGTCGGCGACGGACTTGCACTTGCTCCCATCATTGGGCAGCGTAGTCCACAAACTCATACGTGACCATCGCCAACTTCTATTGTTCACGAAATTGGCCACATTGAAAGAAGAGGATGACCTTTCTTTCCCAATCCAAGTATGCTCAGCACTCATTGCTCCTTGAAACACTAGAATTGTCAATTTGATTCGTTGAGGAATCGTGGCTTCTGTTTCATGCTGTCTTCCTTGAAATTCCCGATTACGACGCCCGGGCTCAGGATTATGTACCACCAATTGCTGCTCTAGCTCCTCAAATCGAGCCCTGAGCTTGCGGTTATCTCATTCTCGACCCGCTTCTACATCCTGTTCTTGTTCTTTTCTGTCGCGACGAGTCTCTGCGTTTTGGGCCATCTCTAGTGTCGCCGGTGACAGAGCATCAAGCCTCTGCTCGAGCTTATTGAACTGTGCCTGGAACAAGGCACTCATTTGAGCTAAAAGCTCGACCACGTTCCCTTGTTCTGCCATAAAGGAAGGATCAGATTGACCCTCTGTTTTCAATGGGGCACTCTGTTCCTCTGTTCCCTTTTGCTGAAGAGCAGGGTCTTCCGAGACTAATCCCTTCGACCTCGTCCACGGCATCGCTCCGCCAACGTCGTTCTCCGTTCTGTCCATTGTGAAGAACCGAGGCTCTAATACCACTTGAAAACCCCCAACGAGGGTGTCGATTCTCGGCTCCAGGCATGAGCATGCAAGCCTTGAATTTCGTCGAAGAATTCCAACGATAAAGAAGAAAAATGGTTTGGATGGAAATCGATGTGCAGTCCTACACCTGGAGGAAGGCTCAACGATTATACGTCGCTGCTCGCCCACGATCAATGTGATTTTGATCGATACAAGAGCTCAATTCGAGCTTGGTTTTCTCGGCCAAACTCTTAACCAAACACAAAGCACGACACTTAGTTTTTAGGGTTTCAATTCTTTTGTTCATCATCTGCCCTTATTACAAGCCTTCGTAATGTTTAAATAGACCTTAAAACTATCCTAAACCCACAAGGAACTTCGAGCTAAACAAGGAAAACAAAGCAGTCCTAATACTAGTACAACATGGAAACTTAAAAGCAAGAAATCAAGCAGCCTTGAGACCATCTTCAACGCCCTCATTCGAGGCCTTTTTGTTGTGAACTCGATCACCCAATACCTTTCTTCTGTCCTAGGAAATACGTAGTTTCATGTGGCACGAAACTCCTCCCTTGAATCGGCACCATATTTCAGGGGTGAAGCTTCAAAGTAGCTATGCTGCCCACCGTTTGACACTTAGGCAATTCCTGTCAATTTTCCAGTGTTGAGCTACCATCTTGTCGAGGCTTGAAACTGTACTTCCAGGCTTCCCTTTGAGCCGCCAGCACCTCTAGCTTGTAGCGGAGAATCGCAAGTTTAAATCCATACCCTAACCTTCCATTTCCACCATTCCAATCGGCCTCACCAAGCTTCCAAAGTACCTTAGTCGAATACGTCAAATGCCTTAGCCACGATTTCTGCTTGTGCACAATGGTTGTGTTAGCTTGTTTATCAATGAATTCTGGCTTGGGAATGAAGTAAACCAGGATCGTATCAATACATCCCTAGTGGCAGAACCTTCTGTCGTGGACGAGTTCATCTATAGAGAGCTATGCATGGAGTTCTACTCTACCTTCATCCACGTGGTGCCCACCGGCAGACGCAATCCCTCATACATGGAGTTCATGATCGGGGGTCTGCCTGTCCTACCACATTTTCTCATTTTCTTCACCTGAAACACACAAGACTGATTACACTAGGCAATAATGGGTTTATAGCCATTCCGGGGTTGGTGAGCCCTAAGCTAGCGATAATATGCTCAAACATATCATAAAATCATCGCATTAAGCATAATAATGCAATATTTTCTCGCCAATTATCATGACTCATGAAACAAAAGATGCCACATGGGAGTTCCTTGAAGAATTCAAGCATGATGTCACACGAAGAAGACGTCACATTGTAAGTGTGTCGTATACAAGTAAGGATATAAATATAAGACAAAGGCTAGCGTACATGTGAGATATAATATATGTCTGCATTAACACCTATTACTTTAACCCCGATATATTTTGACGAATTATAATGATCATTTATTATTTTTAGATTAAAAGAATCTTTGAGTTTGAGTTTATAAAATGAAGTGGTGAAATCACCTATTAAAGTTTGTGGTACAAGCACCATGTCCCAAATTTTGATTAATTCATGGTCCAATCCAAAATTATGCTAGTCTCAACCATATATATCAGCTATCTATTAGCATTAACTATCATCTCCAAGCTTGGGAAAGCTATACCACGGGACTAAGTTGTCGTTTGCACTGACAAGATGTACGCAGGCATTGGTGAGAGACGGAAGCTTTTGAGTATAGTACACTATTGACTATCCTATCCTATGTGAACGGTGCATAGAGCGACCCATCTAAATTCCTCCAAAAAGGCTACCACTGTTTGCAAATTACGGCACAGCCTAAACTAGCATGGTAGAAGCTGATCATGTGTGGACAACGCACAGAGGATATAATGAGCCGACAAGCTGAGTGGATAAACATCACAGTCGGATAACAAAAGAACTTTCATCTTAACTTCCTCGTATGTGGTTGCAGATGCATTGTCGACTTCCTTACCATCCCTAAATATCTGCTAGAACGGCCAACGGAAGGACCGACCGTTAACGACCCATTAGAGCCCCACCACCACCGAAACTGGAAAAAGACTGCACTGGCCGACGAGGGGACTAGAAGAAGAAGAAGAGAATCAATCAAAACCAACCCGCCACCACCTACAATTCTGATTCGGATATCGACACACAAACGAAACGACTTCTTTCGGGATAAGGTAGATAGATAGGTATGGTAGGCTACATCCAATACGACAATGGATAAAAAGGACAACACCACATGACGATTTCAAAATAATTCTCAGCTCTCTCTTTTGCCCCCACCACCATCCATGATTCTACAATCACTGGTACCTGCGATAGCAGCTTCCTGTGACCAGATTCTGAACCACTCTGGTGAGTGGTAATCCAGAGAACCATATCCACGAAATGTAAGAAGTTCATTTTGCATGCTCAAACACTCGTGGCCACAGTACGGAGTTATGAGTTATCGACATGGTAATCCTGAAAGCAAACTGTTCTTTTATAGCTTACAGTAATATTTAGTAGTATAATAATGATGCTAGGCAATGGCACCAGGCACGGTGCCTGCTCAAGAACCTTTACAGCAAAAGGATGAAAAGTTAAAGCAAAACCAGAAAAGACCTTATATAAGAACTTAGCAATATTCTCTATGTAAGTCCATTCTTCAACGCATATATATGATAATAATGTATATGATATTAGTTTCTTTGGCTGGGGCAGAGCAATAAAACCAGCTGTCCGCTGCAAGCTGACTTCTATCATACCTAACCTCCACATAAACGGAAGGGTAGATAATGTTGCTAAAAGCTAACTTGTCTATATACCCTGCAAAAGCACCATCCATCTCCTAAAGTCAGTCTCACCATCTCATAGGAAGCAATTCTGGGAGTATTAAGATCGTCACCCAAAAAGGTTTCTTCCTTTCTGGATTTTGGGTTGAAAGATCGAAATCCACTACTATTTTTGGACCAGCAAACCAAAAGGGGCGTTTTCGTGAACCACATACCTAGTTGAGGTGAGCATATGGAAAAGTGGAGGCATAGGGTCTAGTCTAGTAATAGAGCGAACCTGCATCAACAAGAAACATTCCGAGCAACAAAACATTAGGAATACACCCGCGCGAATGACAAGTTAGTGACTCAGGTGGATAGGGGATCCATACCCTGCCACCAATTCCCTCTTGAAGCACCCCCGGAATCATCTTCAGTGCCATCTTTCTTGAACTGGACACACAGGCAGACAGGAAGCAAGCACAGCATAGTGAGCGAGTCTACCCATTTCAGATGATACAGACAGACAATACGAAAATAGTTTGCACTTTTCTACAAAGAAGGTAAAGAATTCCATAGGAAAGAAATGAATGATTCCCCTCCTGGCACCTCAATACACATTCCCATTGAAAACCTACCCAATAGTTCTCTTGAGGGCGAGTTAAAAAGGCATTAGTAAGCTCAACCAACCCAAAAGGAAGAATAGAATCTTATAAATTTGATGGGTACTACTTCCTATGCAGAGATCAATACTCACAGTTGAGTTGATATTAGTGCTCTGATTACTTTGCGGGTGATGATAAACATCCTGACCACCATAATAAATTGAAGAACTGAGGTGGCATGGCTGTACTCTCTGATCTTCATAAATAGAGCTCATATCTCTATATGATGTGTTCTGGTTATCACCTTCAAGGCTTCTCGCACTGTAATCTGCAGACAACAAAATCACACACCAATCCAATCCCTTCTTTCAGCACAAACGCCACTTTCCATCTTTAAACTATTCATTCATCTACTTTGTGGTTCAACATTCAAATTTAAGGCCAAACGAAAAGAAAAAAAAATATACAGACCTGGTGCTCCATGTTTTGCAGAAGAATCCTCCTTCCTCTCTGGGCGCAACGACTCCCTCCCCAGCACCTGAAATCACCCAAAATTTGGAAGCAAAATCTCAAGCATCAGCCCTCCATTAAGAGAAGCTGCGACAAACAGTAACTAACGTAAAGAATCCAAACAAGAACAAGAGCTCTATTGAATCATGTCAAGCTAATAGGCAACGTCAGGTTCCATCAATGATATCGGTTAAGATCCATACATAACAGAGGAATTATTACGTCATAATTTTTTTCTCTCTAACGCTCTTCTTCACACAATCTCTACAACGTGCCCGCTTCACAGAGAACCGAAATTCGAAATCCAACTCTGAATCTAGGGAAACCGAATTGAAAATCCAGATTCAGGACAGTAACTGACCCTAAACAGCCGATTAACAGAGAAAAGTTAACGCGGAAGAGGAACGTAGAGAGATTAACGTACAGGTTCGATTAATGAAAGATACCTTAGAGGACGGCGCAAATATGGAACCGAAAATCCCAGAGGAAGAAGATAACGAGGATTCCTTGGAGCCAAACAGCTCGGAGGTGAACGACGAAGAGGATGAAGACGATTGCGATCCCGGATGCTGCTTCTTTCCCTCCATTTTTTTTAATTACTTTTCAGTCCGTCGCCCCGCCTCGTAAAACCTCTTCTCGCCCTCGAAACCAACCGCGCGCGTCGTTCGGATAGGAACGAGTATAGACGGCTTCTTCCGAAACTCTGTCGGGAAAGAAATAGCTTGCCGCCGGCGGGAACGAAACGGAGAGAGGGAAAAAGGGGGCAGGAAACGGGAAGGGAAATGAAGAACAAAGGGGGAAGCAGGGGAAGGAAGGAGGAAGGAAGAACAGACGCGAGGGAGGGAGCGAAAGAAATATAGGAGGAGGAGAAGAGAGAAACAGACACGTGAAGATCGAGAGCGTTGTTGTAGAGGAAAAACAAAACCGTCGCTCCGCATTTATAATATAATAATAATAATAATAATAATAATAATAGGAAATGGAAATGGAAATGGAAATGGAAATGGAAATAGGAAAATAGATGCAAAATCTAGTAATTAACTTTGAATTCATTTTATTTTACATGTGAGATATGATTTTATCAGTCCACCATAAATGAATTTGATTCATAAAAGTGAACTATTATTGTGTATCATAGTTTAAATTTTTTGAGAGAACTATTATTTGGATCGAATGCTTAACTAGCAGCAGACAATTAGAACATAAATGTTATTAGTTCAAACAAATGAAATGGTGAGAGTGTTCCAACATCTTTATTTTAACATCGTACAACTTAAAATGATCGACCTATTGCAAAATCAATCTAAAAGTTAAAACACAATGATAGGGTCATCATTAGAAAGATCCTACCTTTTTTTCTACTCTTTATCTAGATCTTTAAAGGGTGGTTTACGATAATTATTTTGGATTTGTGCAAGATAATACTTTATTCATTAACATCATCGTACTTAAGATGATCGATCTAATGACAAAAGTTTTAGGATTTTAAGAAAATAACATTATGTCGTCTAGTGTAGCAAAGTCTAATCATTGATCGATCAAGAGTAATGAAAAATATAACGTCTTTTGTATCAAATATTTAAATCAAAACTTAGGTATAAATGCTATTACTTTCTATTGACTAAAGATAAATGAAGCATGTTAGTTCAAACATCTTCCCAATGCAAATGATCAATTAAAATGTATGAGGAAAATCATTATTTAATACTACTTCTAATAAATTGTGAAGTTGTTTGATCAATCAACAATGGAGGTTTAACTTCAAAAAAAACTGAAAGGGAACCATCAACTCCCTCTCTCTGTCCAGAACCAACACTGATCTCCGTGACATCCCACAAAAGTTGCTCCTTTACAATGTTGTCTATCGCCCTCCGGATCACAAATTGTCAAGAAAGGTGCTTCTTAGATCACTTCGAAATGGGGTTTCAATGTGTTGAGAAACGGGACAACAACTACAAGAAAGAACAGAATGCACAAGACACACAATTTTTATATGGAAAACCCAAATCAGGAAAACCCACAAGACCTTTGTCCAAACCACAACTTCACTATACTTTGGTGGGATTATAAGTCCTCTCTAGACTAGTTAGAGAATTACAAACACCTCATGAACAGCCTTCTTGGATCACCAATCAACAACCAACAACAATAGGTCTCACCAACATGGTGGATAACTAGAACAAGAACAAGAGCAAGATAAAGAGATATTTAGATGTACTAAAAACATATTCGTACACCTGTCCAGCAGCGATTCCCAATGAAATAGAGATCACCACGACGATCCCTCCGATCATATTGAAGCCCAACTAATTGCAACCCTGCTGTCTAAATTTCAAGATGATTTAACGATTCGATTTTCAGAATGCTCACTTGAACAGGCTGTCCTACTGCAGACACAAAAAAACTGCAACCTCCTGTTTCTCTCTACTCCTTACTTTCTTCTATCTTCTATCCTATCTTTTTCTCTTGATTCTCTGTCCACAAATGAAAGGCGGTATCCTCTTTCACTTTTTACTAGAAAATAAGATTCTCTATTTTAATAATAGAGGATCTTCTAGAAAGACTTCTGAACTCTCCAATTAGTCCAAGATAACCCAAACTCAAACTGGTTAGTCCAACCACCATATGAGTTGGACCAGCCCAACAAATCTCCCCGTCCAACTCATATGGGAGGTAGTACTAATCATGCTTCCTCATGACAGAAAATAAGTTTCTCACTTGGTAGAGATTTAGTCATCATGTCCGAACTATTGTCATTTGTATGCACTTTGTTGAGCTCCAACAACTTTTCTTCCAAAACATCACGAATCCAATGATATAGAACATCTATGTGTTTCGACCATGAGTGGAAAGTAGGATTCTTGCAAAGATGAATTGCACTTTGACTATCACAATAGAGCACATACCTCTTGCTTGATGCACAACTCTTGAAGAAACTTCTTCAACCATAGCATCTATTTGCAAGCTTTTGTCATGGCTATGTCCTCGGCTTTCGTTGTTGATAATGCAACACATTTTTTCAATTTAGATTGCCATGAAACTGCAGCACCTGCAAAAGTCATTATGTACCTAGAGGCCGACTTTCTAGAGTCCACATCACCTGCCATATTAGCATCGGTATATCCATCAAGTATGGTCTTGGCATTTCCAAAACACATACACACTCTAGAAGTACCTCTTAGATAGCGAAGAATCCACTGCACTTCTCTCCAATGTTCTTTCCGCGGATTGGAAAGAAACCGACTAACAATCCCAAGTGCATGAGCAATATCCAACCTTGTGCAAACCATGACGTACATTGTGAGAACCACGGATCTAGGCGTGCGAATTAGGGATTAAACGAACTAGGGATTGGGAATTTAGGTGAGGAAGAAGGGGAATTTGGGGATGAGAGAGAGAGCAGAATCGGTTCCCGGGATGGGAGCCGCCGAGTTGAGAGGAAGAGGAAGGGGGTTCGGCTAGGGTGAGTTGAGAGAGAGAGAGTTGGGAACAATTCTGTATTATTGCTTGCCCTTGACCTAACATAACATCATATTTATATAACCTGACTAATTACTGTTTACTACCCGAATAATTAACCTAACCGAATAAACCCCCATAATTCACCTATCCGACAATATCTGAATAATACGAAATAACAAATAGACTCTCAACAATTATGTTTCTCACAATCCATCCCCCTTGAAACCCACCTTGCCCTCAAGGTGGGCCATGGGTCTTGCCCTCTTCTTTCTTGTCTTCTCCCTCGACGCCCTTCTCCATTTCTTCGCCTTCATCCTCCCAATTCCCGACTAGCAGCATCAAGTGACTCTTGGCGCACTGGTGGCCCACAGTATACCTCTCATCACAGTTGAAACAACGCCCATCCCGGCGTTTCTGGTCCATCTCCGCCTGAGTCAGCCTCACGAACCCTCGCGGTGGTGCTCTGGCCGGGAACCGTGGCCCGGCAGTGGTTCCGGTCGCCGGAGGGCTTGCTGCCGCCGCCGGTGCTCCCGCCCCGGTACCAGCTCCGCCACCTACTCCTCCACTGGCCCTCTGTATCCTGCCCACAGAGGTCCTCCAGCTTGCTAGCTCCTCTTCCTTCCGCCCTGCAATTCTAAAAGCCACCCGGAGAGACTCCGGCTCAAAGACCTTGACCGCTGTGGCCAGCTCGGGCCTCAGGCCCGCCATGCACAGCCCCACCAGAGTTTCTTCGGTCATCTCCTTGCATTGGTTTCCCAGCTTCAAGAACTCCGCTCTATACTCCGCTACCGACCCGGTCTGTTTGAGCTTGGCCAGTTGCTCCGGGGCCCAGCCTTCTGCCCTTCCGAACTGATATCGGAGCTCATCCTGAAACCGAGCCCACGAAATCCTCTCACCTGCTGCTGCGTACGCCCGCTCAGTCCACTCCCACCACTGGAGGGCATCCCCCTCCAAGTAAAAGGACGCCAGATGCGCCTTCCTTTCCTCCCTGATCGGATGGTTCCTAAACCACCTCTCAGCCGCATACAACCACAGCCCCACATCGCCAGTGCCATCAAACTTCGGAAACTCAATGACTGGCGGTTTAGCCCTAAACACCAGCTCATCCTCATAGTCATACAGAGGATTGCTGTACCCGTACCTGTTACCGCCGGTCGGCTGCATCGAATGGCCCGACCCAGGATGTCGGTATTCTGGCCCCGCGTTCTGCATCTCTGAGTAGGCCCAGTCGGCCATCTCATGCTGGTACACCTCTCCTCCCCCAGCCTTCGTTCCGGATCCCTGACCCTCCTCCAACCGGCGTCCCGGTCGTGCCCCCTCGGCCCGTGGAGTGCCCCATGGCGGATAACCAGCCTCGGGGCCCTGTCTGTCGCGCCTGGGCCCTCCTCCTGGTCCGTACCTGCTGCTGCCCATCGGCCCGCGCCCCGGTTCCACCCGGTTCGACCCGGTCCGGCCGGGTTCGGCCCCGCCCGACTCGGTCCGACCGATCCCGGTCCGACCGTGACTGGTTCGGCCGGCCAACAACCCAACCGGTCTTCCGGTTTGGTCCAGCATGGGCTCACTCACCAGGTTCTGGTTGGGCCCATTGGGCCCCGGGCCCATCTCCCACTCCTCCTGATCCGCGAAGCTCATCTCCTCATAGTCCGGGCCCAATTCCTCGAACTCCACCACCTTCTTCTGCCTGCGGGCCTCCGCAATGTCGTGGGCTGACGGAGCCGGAAGCAGACCTGGCCCACTGAAGACTGGTGCGGAACCAGATTCCCGGCCCGCTCCTCCTGCTGGTCTGGGCCCGCCGGGATAGCCGCCCCCACGACCCCCTGGGCCCGGTGGCCGCGCCGCCCTTGAGCCCCCACCGCCGACCATCTCGCCCGGCGCCGCGGCCTCCCTGCCGCCGAGAGCGCCTGGCGGCTTAGCCGCCGCCGCCGCAGCCAGCGCGCCGCCCGCCTCCCCTTCCACGGCGCTGCCCGCGCCTCCAGCCGCGCCGCCTCCAGCCGCGCCTCCCGCCGCGCCGCCTCCCGCGCCCACCGTCGCTCCTGGCGGGGCGGCCTCCTTCCTCTCGGCGGCCAATGATACCGCCGCCGCCATCTTCTCCACAGCCTCAGGTCGGTTTCCCGGGTTTGGCTCCTTGCCCTGAAACACACCGATCAAAACCTGAGTCATGGTGTCCGCCAGAGCCTTGCACAGCTTCTCAGTCATGGCCGTGCCCATCTCCTCAATCGAGGAAGTAATTCGCTCTCCCAGCGCCTCTATGGCCTCGGTCGAATTCCGGGAAGCAGCAGCTGCTCGCTCTGTGGACGCCGTTAAGCTCTCCAACGTGGTTACGACCGCGTCGTACTTGTTATGCGTGATGTCCTTCACAGTCACGATCTCCTGGCCCTGTCTCTGCTGTTGCGGTTTGTCCGTGTTCGACATCTTGCTTCTTGCAGCTCAGTAATCA